CCCATATGCCCATTTATTTCTAGGGAGAGGGACTCAGAAGGAGTCCGAAAATACATTCCGATTGATCGATTGAACACTCATTTGGACATTTAGTGTCCAGAAAGGGATGAATGCGGTGCTAAAATTACGCATTTGATTTACGAAACTACGCCTAAGATTTAGGATTCATGTCAGATTCTATTGAAGAATTTGATAGGAATCTTCGTTAGAGGACGCTCAAAACACGAGACTATGAGCATTCAGTGAATTCATTCAGGTATGGGAAGAATTCTCGCCGCTGAGATTTCAGTACAAATCTCGGGGACACGTGCACATCGAGCTGCTGTTCGCACGTCGTGCTCACGGCGATGGTGAACCGTTCGACGGCAAAGGTTTGTTTGGAGACACATTCAAATCAAATTCCCAAATGACCACACAGAGTTGTCTGACGAGCAACGAGCAACTTTCAGAATCGAGTTGATATATCTCTTATCAGTCTATTCGTTTATAACATTGCAACTGATCATGAGCGATTGCAAACGTACGCCTGTGTTGATAATATTCACGTGCAGTATTTCAGGTCAGATTCTAGCGCACGCATTCTTTCCGAGATTCGGTGGTGATGTGCATTTTGATGAGGAGGAATTGTGGAGTCCGAATAAGAGAATCGGTTCGTAAAATTTTCTTTCGGATTCAAAATTTGATCTGTCTGCACTGTTGCTGCAATGGCGATGAATTATTTGTGAATGGTCGTAATGATGCTCTATAATTTCACGCTTAAATGAATGATTTACACTGAAATGATTAAAACCAACTTTTACTCAGGGAAACCAATGCTATCTGAATGCTAAAATTTCGTTTCATCAATCCGTTAAGAAACGATGTCACTTTCTCACTGATTTTCGAACAAATTGGTAACCGCAATGAGATTATGAAGTTGAACAGTTTCCCGAAGGAATATCATTCGTGCACATTTTCAGGTCATGGAATAGACTTGTACGCAGTAGCAGTGCATGAGATTGGTCATTCACTCGGGCT